ATGACCACAAGGCTGGCAGGCGCCCATAAGGCTTTTTTATGAGGACTCACACTCAAGTCTGTGAGACAGGTCTGAGGCAGTCCAAGTCCAAGGACTGACGGCACCAGATAAAAGAAAAGAAAAACTGTGGGCCTACGTCTACTGGAACCTTGACATACAGCTTGGCTTCTGATCCGCCAGAAATCTTTTATTTGAATTTTTATCAGTTCCACTGAGTTTGAATTTGTACAGAGAGAGAGAGAGAGAGAGAGAGAGAGAGAGAGAGAGAGAGAGAGAGAGAGAAAGAGAGAGACAGAGAGAGAGAGAGAGAGAGAGAGAGAGAGAGAGAGAGAGAGAGAGAGAGAGAGAGAGAAAGAGAGAGAGAGAGAGAGAAAGAGAGAGAGAGAGAGAGAGAGAGAGAGAGAGAGAGAGAGAGAGAGAGAGACTCTCCTCAACCAACAACCACACTAACAAACAAACAGACAATCACATCAACCAGCCCAACAGCCGGTGCCAAGACGTAGAAAAAGGATACTCTCGCCGTTTTTATCCACATCCCCTCTGTATTCCGGAACGAAATCTTTGAGCGAGTCGGACATGAGTTTCTTGAAGCAGGCTTGTTCCCGGGGGTCTAACCGCTTCAGCACTGAGCCGGCGTCACCGGCGTGGAAGTTGCCTGGGGAAAAGGAGAAGATGATTTATTAGATTTAGAAATCGTTTTACGGCACTTGCAACACAATAAAGACATATAAGTGCTGAAGATTTGAGGTCTTACAAGAGAGTAACAGATACAAAAAAAGGAAGAAAGATAAGGACGAAAGATGTTTGATGCCTGAAAGATGGAGCAAACCACATCAGAACACGCACCAACAACCCAGGGGGATGACTATTCAGACACATTTAAAATAGGAACCATAGAAAGCATTTAAATATCAGTGTCTAGTATTTCCCTTTTAAAGCAATGTGCATCTCAGCAGGGGCGAAACTTTCAAGTTTACGCCAGTCTCCCAAAGCCTATGATACAACTGAGTATTACAATTCACTGCACTGCTAAAGCTTAATCATCTTTCCCCCCCCCCCTCTCTCTTTTCTATCTCTCACCCGGCCCTTCCATCTCCCCTTTTCTCTTTTGGTTTCTTCCTCTCTTTGTATTTCTCTCTCCATGTCTCTCTTTTTTGCCCCCCCCCCTCCCCTAATCTTTCTCTTTTATTTAGTCTCTGAATGCACAAGTACTTCAAATTTAGACAGAAAAACAACACCTAATTAAAATGTTTTAGGCATAACCGCCTTAACTCGGAAAAAAGCCCAACAAAACAACAATATACTGAAGGTTAATTAACATCAAAATGGATGATAGAACTCACCTTGGTGACCAGCCAATTGTATCCAAGGATACCGATGTTTTTTGAACACTTGGATGAAGGGAGACCAAAGGATGAAGCTTCTGCTCTTCGGCAATGATCTTTTCTGAAAACAGAAAGAACGTTTGGATGAAATTAAGCTTTGGGTAAAATAACGGGCATAAACTTTAATTTCGTCGACTCACATTTCATCCGTTTTGATAACATAAATTCCGGGATGTGAGAGGCGAGAAGAGGTAAAGGACCACACGCATGTGACGGACGACGTCACGCGGCTAGGGCAGGAGGGACAAGCGAATTGTTAACAGACAGACAGATAGACAGACAGGTAGGGAGATAGATAGATAAGAGTGTGTCGGAGAGAGAGAGAGAGAGAGAGAGAGAGAGAGAGAGAGAGAGAGAGAGAGAGAGAGAGAGAGAAAGAGAGAGAGAGAGAGAGAGAGAGAGAGAGAGAGAGAGAGAGAGAGAGAGAGAATTAAGTAATAGCTTAAACCTAATTTATCTAAACAGGCAAGCGAATAAGGAGGAGTTTGGAGCCGTAATCGGGAAATCCTCGTTTCCTATATTAGGGCTACTTATAGCGGGAGAGACGCACGGGGGATAATCCTACAACACCTCATGGGACACCTTGGCAATTGCACAGCAGGCGGAAATAACATGACAGACGAACATATGGGAGATTCTGATACCGCATCACTGTGGACACATCGTGGACAACATAATACCAAGCTGCACGATTCTATCGTGGACTCGTACTGTATGTAGGTCTCAAAAAAACCACACAGGGCAGCG